TGGTGATAATGGTGGTGGTGATAATGGTGGTGGTGATGATGGTGATAATGGTGGTGGTGATAATGGTGGGTGATGATGATGGTGATAATGGTGGTGATGATGATGGTGGTGATAATGGTGGTGGCGATGATGATGGTGATGATGATGGTGGTGATAATGGTGGTGGTGATAATGGTGATAATGATGGTGGTGATAATGGTGATAATGATGGTGGTGGTGATAATGATGGTGGTGGTGATAATGGTGGTGGTAATAATGGTGGTGGTGATGATGGTGATGATGGTGGTGGTGGTAATGATGGTGATAATGGTGGTGGTGATAATGGTGATTGTATTGGAGATGATGATTGTGATTGGTATGGTCATGGTGATGATCAAGATGGTAATCATGTTGGTGATAATAATAGTGATAGTGCTGATTCATGAAGCAGAAAGAACTACCTCTTTTGCAAATTCCTCAAGTGAAGTTTCCGATGGCGATGCCTAAATGATATTACATTACAATTCAGCTACCTACAGTATTACTGTTGGTACAAAAATAGTCATTGCCATAGATAATTACTATGTAGATTCTTAAAACAAAACATAGAAATCTACCTGATCTGCTTCATCTTTTTCTTCATGGGAATGGAATTTCTACAAAAATGAGAAAATGTTCAGTGTTTTGTAGTCTGTGAGAGGATATTAGTAAAATTCAGGAGTTTCATAAACTTACTTGCAGTAAGGTATTGTTAATAGTAGAATTTAGCACTGCACTAAGAATTCTAGAAAATAATTCACCATTATTTAATAAAATACTATAATTATGTGCAGTTAGCAGATATAATATTATGGAATTAATTACACTTTATTGCAAATAGCATATATGGCACAAATTATTAACTTTCATAATAAAGATGACTTCAATAACTATCCTTTTATGCAAGCCCTCACAGCCCTGTTATGTTCTAGGAACTGAGATTTATTAAAGTGATAAGGTAACATACCTAGGCGTAACCCCACGAAACAAACCTAAAACACCGTCTGTATGGTACACGACTGATGCTAAAATTAGAAATGTTTTGCTATAAATATTATGGATTTATCTCATTTATGATTAACATTTATGATTAATTAATTATTGTATTTAACTTACCATAGGTAAAAAGACCAGGCAATTTGTACATATCCTTTCCAAATAATGTCTTGTAGGGAGTTGGCTTGACCGGTTCAAATCCAACCTGGGTGAAATATTAACCCATTACAGTCAAACCGCTGTTTGCTTGCAAATTGCTCAGAGCAATCTGCCTATAAAAATCGCAATATTGTGGGACAATATTGCTCGCAAGAGAACATCCCGTTTGACTGTAAGATGGAACGTGCCCAAATGTACATAACTTTATCATTTTACTTGGTCCAATGCCAGATGGTTTTACTTGTCAAGGGAAGAATCTTGTGCATTGGGTCGTTTCAGTTTATAGCGAGGGGCAGATGCTTTTTGAAATGACGTAATATAAGAAACAAATTCTGATATTCTAAGAAATTTGTGAAAAATGGCTTGTTAGTTGTGGTGAAAAAATCAGAAGCGTCTGCTAGTATTT